AAATATATAACAAGGAAGTGACCAAACTGGGATTAATCAAGGAAGGCTTTTTAGAGAAGAGGAATCTTAAGCTCTTTTTAGAAGATAAACATAGGTTCATCTAGAAAAGGGGGGTGGGCGTAAAAGATAAGCATGAATAAAGTACTGAAGAAGTAATGAGCCCAGTACAGATGACTCCAATGGTAATGTGAAAGGGGAGTTTGTTGGAAGGTGCAGTGGCCCTCCATGATATCTGTCTCAAAAACTCAGGGGTGTCACCTAGATATTCTTAAATATCTTCATTTTCAGATATTAAAAAAAATATGGTTGATCTTATGATCTAATGATAGATTATTAGCTAATAATCTATCAACTGGAAATCTATTATACCCCTTCTTCCTTAATGAGTCTTTGGTATTCACTATCCATTATCGCAGAATCAGAGTTTAGGAGGACCTTGCAGGTCTCAATCTCTTTATTTCACAGATGAGAAAGCTGAGGCTCCAGAGAGTTTAAATCAACCTTCTTCTTGCTGTGGTTCAGTCCTGTTGGATTCTTCATGACTCCATTTGGGGTTTTCTTCTTGGCAAAGATATTGGAGCAGTTTTCTATTTCCTTTCCCAGTTCATTTTATAGATAAGGAAACTGAGAAAAGCAGGGCGAAGGGACTTGCCCAGGGTCACACAGACGGTTAAGGGTCTGAAACCGGATTTGAACTCAGGAAGATGAGTCTTCCTGACTCCAGGTCCAGCATGCTATCCACTGCAACACTTAGTTTCCTCTTGTTCTTGCTAATTTGGTTGTTAAGCTTGTTTCTATGTTGGTGAAGATGTGTATGAGTTAAATCAATTGCCTCTCAGGTGTCCTTGAGGCAGGGAACAAAGCTATAAATTGTCTTGGCCAAACAACAATTTGACCCAAAACAACTCCTTGGCCACACTGACTTTCCTTTCTAAGTATACGGATCAAACTGAAAAACAAAAATAACAGATTGGTTTTCTAGAATGTATTGGTTTCTGCCATAACACCTTACCTTAAAATTACTTTCTGGGAACTCAGACTTGTATTTACTAAACAACAGACCAATCTGACCACCAACATGACAGTACCAATAGAAATATCTCCTATGAAGGGATAAAACAGAAATATGTGTAGTTCTGGGATGTGGAATTTAATCATCATAGTCAAAAACTCAGAGGGGGCTTCTACCCTCATTAGTTACTTGTTGTACAGCTATGTCCCACTCCTCATGACCCCATTTGGGTTTTCTTGGCAAAGACACTAGAGTGGTTTGCCGTTTCTTTCTTCAGTGGAATAAGGCAAAGAGAAGTTAAGTGACTTGCCCGGGTCACACAGCTAGTATGTGTCTGAGGCCAGATTTGAATTCAGGAGGAGGGGTCTTTCTGACACCAGGCCTGTCACTTTATCCATTGAGCCATACAGAGGACATTTTAGGGTCAGAGTAAGGAAACAATGGAGGCAGCTAGGTGGCTCAGTAAATAGAACACTGGATCTATAGTCAGGAAGATCTGAGGTCAAAGCTGGCCTCAGACACTTATTAGCTGTGTGACCCTAGACAAGTCACCTAACCCTGTTTGCCTCAGTTTCCTCATCTGACAAATGAGCTGAAGAAGGAAATGGGAAACCACTCTAGTATCTTTGCCAAGAAAACTTCCAATGGGGTCACAAAGAGTTGGAAATGACTAAACAACAATATCAAGTCAATAACTCAGGAATACTGACAAGCATGAGAACAAAGAGCAGGGAACAACCTTCTAGGGCAACTAATCAAACCCTTTCATTTCACTGAGAAGGAAATTGAGGCCCATAGAGATTAAGTGACTTGCCCAAGGTCACATAACTAGGTAGGATTTGAATAAAAGTCCTCTAAATTCAGAATTTCTGCTTTCTGATGACCAGATTAGCTGAATTCAGAAAGGCTCAGCACCAGCGAGAGCCCAAAACAACTCCTAAAAACAATCTCTGGAATCTACTTTGTCAGTGGAGGGTGTGCCCATACTGTTGAAATCTCAGCTTACTGCAGGGTTATTATCTTATCCTGTGAGTTTCCCCTCTCGGTCCCCTCCTCCCTGCTACTAAGGGCATTTTTGTCCTTCTTTTATCAGTGTTTAACTTAGCACCATTTGCTATTTTAGACACTTAATGCTTAAAGATGGAGTTGGAGATTCCAAAAGACTGAGGCAACCTCTTCAGATAATCAGACAAAGCACCTCAACCAGGGGGATGGTGGGACCAGCTGGTAGCAGCTTTAAAGCTGCTTGTTAAATTTTCAACATAGGCATTGATGGCTCAGAAAATGGCAAACGCTACGAATCAGGTCTAATTTACTATCATTGATTGTCTAGACCTTAAAAACTGATGGGAGGCGGACAGCTACGGGGCACAGTAGATAGAGCAATGGCCCTTAAGTCAGGATGACCTGAGTTCAAGTCCAGCCTCAGACACTCACTAGCTGTGTGACCCTGGGCAAGTCACTTAACACTATTGCCTAAAAATAAAACAAAAGAAGAAGCAATTAGAAAAAAATGTTACTAATGTAGATTAGATTTAAAAGGGTATCATGGGTACATTCCTTTCCCCACCCCAGCCCCTAGAGGATCAGATCTTAAGCATAACTCTGCCTCAAACCTTAGCTTCTTTGGGTCAAAACTGAATCATGGGCCAACATTATGATAACAAAATATTCTCACGTCATGCTTGACAGTTACAAAGCACCTTCACATACATGGTCTCACTGGACCCTTACAGCAACCTCTTGAAGTAGGGAGGGAAAGTCTTATTATCCTCATTTTCAAGATCCTAGGAAGGGACCCTAGTGCAACCCACTGATGAGGTAGTAGGAAGGAAAGATGTTTTTTGGCATCGCAGAATCCAGGTCTTCTTATGTCATATCTAGAGCTCTTCTCAGAACACCACATTGCTTTTTGGGGAAATTTGTTTATGAGAGGAGGAAAAGCAACATGGTATGGCAGAAAAGGTCCTGTATTTGAACCAGAAATTCCTGAGTTTAAATTCTGATTCAGCTATTTACTATCTGTGTCACCTGGGGCAAATTATTTCCCCTTTGTAGACTTTGGTTTCCACATTTTCACAATGAGCAGGGGGAGGTAAAGCATATGATCTCTAAGGTCACCGCCAAACTCTTAGTTCTGTGTTTCTGCTCATTAGAAAGGTTATTGCCATAATGTGGATCAGGTGAAAAAAACTCAGAATTATTAGACTGGAGAAGAAAGGACTTAGGAGATATGTGATAGCCGCTCAATTAGAGCTGTCCAAGAGTGGAATGAGCTTTCTTAGGACATAGTGAGCTCCCTATCAGAGGAGATATTCAGTTAGAGGCTGAATGGTCCCTTGTTGAAGATGTCACAGGTGGGATTTGTCTAAAGATGTGTGTTGGAGTAAGTGACCTGTGAGGTCCTGTCCTATTCTAATTATATGAAATTTATGAGAACTATGGACTGCTGGGACAACTCGGGCCTTAGGCATGTCTAACAAAGTGATGTAAACACATAGCTAAAACAAAATGCTTTAGAGAGGCACAAAACAAAAAGATGGTGACATCCAAGGGAGAAAATAAATTCCTGAAGATGGGGTGAGAAGGAGGGTGCCTTGTTATTAGCTTATTCCTTCGTTGTCTTCAGTTCTGACTCCTTCCAGCCTTCACAAAAACAAGGGCCATTGTCACAAGAGGACTCAAATGAAAATATGAAGAGATCTGTGCACAGCAGTCCTCTGTCTTAGAAAAAAAAAATTCAGCATACAAGTTCTACTGATGTTATCATCCTAAACCCATATACTGAGGGACAAAGGACTATCATCTCCATTTTATAACTGCAGAAACTCATCACAGGGTCACAGATTTAAGAGCTGGAAAGAACCTTAGAGATCATTAGGTCCAAACTTCTAATTTTTACAGATAAGCAAAAGGAGGCTCAGAGGGGTTGGGGACATTCCTAAGGCCCCATGGCTTGTAAGTAGCTTGAATTGAGTCTCCAAGCTCAGCACTCTTCCCAAGAAAGAATGGAAATTTACCAATTACCATAACGGCTCACATCGTGCTTATAATGGGAAAATCTGCAGCTGAAAATTTTTGCAACCTCTTGTATACACTATGCTGGATTTGGAATCAGAGACCTGGGTTCAAAACCTGGTTCTGAAACTGATTATCTGTATGACTTTGGGATAACTATTCAATCTCATTTTCCCTCATCTCTTAATTGAGAGGGTTGAACTAGATAATTCCTACATTCCCTTTGGGCTCTAAAATTCTATTATCGAATAGAGAAGGTTTGTGGCTGGGCAAACAATGGTTTCTTGAATGGGAGCAATGCCAAGCCACCTAATCCCAGACTATTAATACTGTAAGAGACCTTAGAGATCACCATGCCCCACCCATTTCTTTTATAGATGAGGAAAATGAGAACCAGAGAGGGTAAGGGATTTGCCCAAAGTCACATGGGACATTAAAGGCAGAGGTTAGGGCTGAAACTCTGTCTCCTGAGTTATTACACTCTCTTCCTCTTGAAACTACTTGGCATACTTGTATTTACTTACTATGCATATTTTGTTTCTTCCCCCTCCTTAGAAATAATAATAGTTAACATTTATATAATGTGTTTTCTGTTGAATCATTTGATCCTCACAACAACCAGGTGAATTAGGTGCTATTTATTACAATCCCCATTTTACAGATAAGGAAACTGAGACTGACAGAGGTTAAGTGAGTTACCTAGGGCCACACAGCTAGCAAGTATTTGAAAATTAAGCTGACCTAGGCAGCTCAGCTGGTCCTCTGTCTCCTATTCAACAAACTGGTCAAAAAAAAAAAGCACCTCCCTTTTTCAAGTAGGGACTTTAGAAATTGTCCTCAATTCTCCCCTAACTCCAGAGTTTAAAGGTGGGGGAGGAAATCCTGTCTCTTTTCCAGAAGCAAGAGCAACTGTGTGACAGATGCAAGTTCACTTTGCTCCACCCCTTCTCTTTTCTCTTAAACAGAGGAGCAGAGGTTTCCCTGTGGTCTGCCAGAGTCATTTTCAAGGTTTCCAGAAGACAAGCTGGACCAGGGCAGTCTGGACAGGTGCTTCCCAACTCCACCATGAAGCAGCTTTCCTCTGTAATCTACGTTCCCATCAGCCTCGTCCTCCTGTCTGGGTTCTTCCTCACAACTTGCTTAGCAGGTAGAATTGTGGGGTTTATTCTCCACAAAGGAGGGAGGGAGAGGGAAGAAGGGAAAAAACAGAAACAGAAAAGGAGGGAGGCTATTTGGCCCGAGGAAAAGTCAATATGGAGCTGGGAATTGGGGAAGGGGATGTTTTTAGGTTGAATTTCTTGTTGACAAAGATCAAATTCCCAGACCTCACCTGGAGCATACTGATAGATGTGCTGACATGTCTCTTCTGAAATGTATTCAGCTTTTGTTTGCCATTGCTAAGAGCAAACAGAAAAAAAAGTTTCCCCAAGTCTAACAATTTAAGCCCAAAGGATTTTTTATTTTGTTACTTACCAGTAGCTTCTCTTTCCTTCCCCAGGGGGTCAGTGAAATCACTCTTTTTGTCAATCCCTACCTCCAATGTGTCACTGACCCCGAGTCTCCCAGAGACTGTCAGTAGAGGGCTGGGAAGGCGTCTTTCTGCTCTGTTTGGAATGAACTGTGTCTGTCATCTAAGGGCCAGTTTAGTTGAATTCTGAGAGGCTCATTATCTCTGGGCTGGCCACCAGGTGATGAATTTGTTGGTTTTGTGTTTGGTTTTTTTTTGCTGCAACAACTGGCCAATAGTAGACTATTATATTGTCTATTAAGGCAAGGAGGGGTTGAGATCTGGATCTTAGTTGGAGGGAGTACCCTCACCAAGGAAATCATAGATCTTTTGGAAGTATATATATTTATTTAATCATCTCTCCCCTTCCCTCCCTACTTGAAGTGCTTCCTGTTTACAATATTCAAAGCCCCCCTATTATTTCCCCTTTTCCTTCAAAATTAATAATCCTTTGAATAGCACATAGCTCCAAGTGCTTTCTCTACTAGACTATCTGATTTATTCTCTATCTAAGACAGATAAAATGAGATAATAACCTCATTTGACAAGTGGAAAAAACTAATATACACAGAGGTTAAGAAACCTCCCTAGGATTAATTACACTTCATAACATCAAAGGATGATAAGGGGAAGGGAAAAGAAGGGAGAAGGAATAAGCATTTGTATAGTGCTTTCTGGGTACCATGCACTTTTTAGAATATAGGTCTCAGAGGTGAAAGGGAAATTAGAGATTATTTATGCTCATTTTACAGATGAAGAAACTGAGGCATCCAATTTCCCTGTTTTCCTGGATAGTATTCCATTCCAGCTACTCTTAAAGTATAGTTTGAAGTACCTTGGGAATGACTAGTTCTAAACAATTTTCATAATAATACTAAGACATTTCCATTTCTAACACAGTAAATATCCATAGATATAACCCACACAAAACAAAAGCTCTTTGGAGGGAGGTGGGGACCTTAGCAGCAAATTTTTGATGGTCCACAAAACTATTACTAATAAAAATTCTTACTTCTTTATAAATTAAGTAATATGTTATGCATCCAATGAAACTGAAATTTCACTACTTACATTTTGAAAATCAATTCTAAACACAAAATGCTTGTTACAGTCTATTAGCTACCCCCTCTGTGCCCCCCTTCATTCTGTCTGCTCATCCCTGTACATGTATTTGCGTATACACCTTTCCTTCTATATAGTCATTACTGTTTTGATGGCTCTTTTATTCACTTTTCAATATTTCATCTTTTGATTCTGTAACACTCACAAGGTGTCAGATCATTCTCCAAAAACGTTGTGCTATTACAAAGAACTTGTCCGGGCCTTTTCTATTGGAACTGTGAATTTGAAAGGGCTTGGTTCCCAAACTACTCTCGGGAAAAAAAAACAGGATGAGATTGCACTTGTTTAGACAAATGTGATCATACTATCTCCTTTTACTTACAATTTCTACCAATTCTGTTTAAAAGTTTTACCCTTAATATAAAAGATTTTTGATTATGCACCCCAGCAGTAAAAAAAAATTTTGAGAAGTTAACATTTAGTGTGTATTATTTACTCATTTACATGTTACATACATCTATTACTGGATTTTTGTTGTGTTGTTGCTAGGTTCAGTCATGTCTGGCCCCATTCAGGGTTTTTTTTGGCAAAGATACTGCCATTTCCTTCTCCAGCTCATTTTTACACATGAGGAACTAAGGCAAACAGGGTTAAGTGACTTGCCCAGGATCACACAGCTAGCAAGTGTCTGAGGCCGGACTTGAATTCAGGAAGATAAGTCTTCCTGATTCCAAGCCCAGTGTTCTATCCATTATATATTTTGTAAAATATTCACAAAAAATATAAATTTTAAAAAGATGATAAAGATGAAAGAAAAGATTCCACTTACTTTAATTCAATCATCAATGGATCTAGGTCCTTGTTTTCTCCCCAACTCTTCTAGGATTCACTTTTCACTTTACTTATTTTTGCCAATTTCATAGGAGTGAAGCAGTATTTCAAAATTTTTAAAATGGCATTTCTTTATGAAAAAGGTTTAATGATGATTTGCAATACATTTTTCTACATTTCTAAATTTTCCATTCACATCTGTTGACCCTGCTTTAATCAATGGGAACTGGATGTTGCCCTTGATTTAGAGCAAATTCCTTATAAATTTCAGGTAAAATGTGTGTGTGTGTGTGTGTGTGTGTGTGTGTGTGTGTGTGTGTGTATTTTAAAGGATGCCTTCCTGTGTCCTCCTCTGTCAACCCCTGACTTTCTCTAAGTCCTCTCCTACTGGTCTTCCCCTCTCAACTGCTGGGGGGGGGGGTGAGGAGGGTGGCATCACACTCAATCTTGACAGGACAACTGGTCCACAGTATAGTTTGCTGGGAAATACACTACATTTTCATTTTTCTTCCTCCAAACATCAAATCTTTGCTTCTTGCTCCCTTCTCACCACTTGTCCCCCCTTCTTCTGTCTTTTTTCTTTCTGTGAATCCTTGCAAATCTAGGGGTTCCCAGACTTCTTCAAGAAGTAGGGCAAGTATAGTCAGAAAGATGAGGATTGGGTTGGCTTCATTACAAAGTAGACAGGAAATAACTGCCAGGAATGTTTATTGTGGCAAGTGGTTGAGAGAGTCATGACGTATGATTCAAAAGGTAACATGACTGATTTGTAACAAACATGCCAGAATCTGAATGTGTTTTGTCCTGAAAAGCAATCATTGTGGAAGACCATTTACTAGTTCTATTGATGCCGCTCATGCTTCAAACCATTTTTGAAAGTTCCCCATTGACCCTACAAGAAAATAAGGGGTGAGGTGGCAAGAGAGCAGGGGGTTGATAGAGGGGAGGGCAGATTGGGGGAGGGGATAATCAGAAGTAAACACTTCTGAGGACGGACAAGGTCAAAAAAGAGAATAGAATAAATGGGGGGTAGGATAGGATGAAGGGAAATACACTTAGTTTTTCACAACATGACTACTATGGAAGTGTTTTGCATGACTACACATCTATAACCTGTATCAAGATGCTTGCCTTTTCAATGACGGTGGTTGGGGAGGGAGGAAGGGAGAAAATTTGTAACCCAAAGTTTTAAAAACACATATTAAATAAAAAAAAAGAAAGAAAGTTCCCTATTGGAATTGCCTTTACAGTTTGTGACACATTTCTTTTAAAAACAAGCCCCAGTGGTGGCAAATCTTAATAATAGTAATTGTAATGACAATATAATAATAGCAATAATACTAATAGTTGACCTCGTGCTTAAGGTTTGTCAAGTGTTTTACATCATTTCACATCATTTGAAGATGGAATTGATTTTTTAAAACAACTAATAAACATTTGCATTAATAACGAATAAGGTGGGTGAACCAAGGTAGGTCCTTGGTTCAAAACCATATCTGAATATAAAGCAATGAGATACTTCATTTTATGGTTTGTAAAATGACTCTCAAGCCACTTCTAAGAGAGGAGTCCTAAAACGTTTAGATCATCAGAGGTGAATGAGATCATGTAAGCAAAGCATTTTTTAACCGTGAAGCAGCCATGTAAATTGCCACTAGTAAATGTACAGATACCTGGAGAAGGAAATGGCAAATCATTCCAGTATCTGCCAAAAAAACCCAGATGGGGTCAAGAAGAGTTGGACATGACTGGAACAACTGAACAACAAATGTACCTGTACATATTACATATGGCGATTTTGAAAGGGACAATACCTATTTGGATGTAGAAATTCTGTTGTTGCTTTTTAATCAGCCACTTTACTTGATAGCTGTTTCCAGTATCAAAATGACTGATCATTGCATTGATCATAGTTTTTAAGTCTTTCAAAGTTGTTTATAATGTTATTACTACATAAATTGTTCTCCTGGCTCTGTGCCCTTCATTCTGTATCAGTTCATAAGTCTTCTTAGGTTTCTCTAAAGCCATCCCTGACTTTTCTTATGGCACAATACTATTCTATCACATATACCATATACCATATACCATATTTTTTATACTTTTCTTCTGATGGACATCCATTTAAGTTCCAGTTTTTTTTACCACCACAAAAAAGAGCTGTTATGTCTGAAAGTCAGAAAGTCAGAAAGATTCATCTTCCTGAGCTCAAACCTGTCCTCAGATACTTACTAGCTGTGTGACCCTGGGCAAGTCACTTGACCCTGTTTGCCTCAGTTTCCTCATCTGTAAAATGAGAAGGAAATGGCAAACCATTCCAACATCTTTGCCAAGAAAACCCCAAATGGGGTCACGAAGAGTCAGACATGACTGAAATGAATGAACAACAACAAAATAATAGTGGTATCAAACCCATATCATATCCAATATATTGACTGGAGCAGAGAATCTGGGTTCAAATTTCTGTTCTGACACATATCAGTGATTTCAGCCACTTCAATTCAGTCTGTTTCTTCATCTGTAAAATAACGGGGTTAAACTAGATGGTTTTTAAAGTTCCTTCCAGTTCTAAATCTAGGACCCTAAAAACCACCACTTTTCCTCTTTACCTAACCCTCCCCTTCCAACCAACCCATCCCTGCACTTTTCAACTGCCATATTTCCCCAGAATCCTTTGCACCAGAAATCATAGTGAGTGCAACTAGGCCCCCTACCACCTGGAGTTCTATCCCAGACCTGCCCCTAAGGATGAAGCATCTGGGGATCAATAATGTTAGATCCTTAACTCTTATACTGGGAACACAAGGTTTCCTTTGCATAGGATTGCTTAGAGAGTTCCCACATTCCATTCATAATCCTGGAATAATCAGGGTTTGCCTTTTTGCAGGAAACATAACATCACCAACTGACTTTGGCTTCACATAGGTAGAAAGCTATTTTCCCTTTCCTTGGCAAAGGAGACAGGACCAGTCAAAAAAAACAATTTTTATTATACAGGTGAAAAGAGTTGGGAAATCAATTGCTCCTACCCCAAATATGTTTTCTCCCCCTCTCCCACCCTCATGCCTTTCAGGTGTAAAAAATTCATGTCTGATTACATCAACTAATTACAATACTTGGGTAAGACATTTGAGAGGCTTGGGGTGGAGTAACATAAAACTTTAGTTAGAACAACAGTTTCATGCCTTTGGCTAAATAATCGGTCCTTTTTCAAACTACTATTCCACTGCCTACAAAAACCAATGTCCCTGAAGGACACAGTGTCCTAAGATAGGAACTTGGGAGATTTCTACAGCTTCCTGCCATGCCAAGAAAATAGGATGAAAAGCATTATAATGTCTTGAAGGGATATCTTCAGAATTTATTTCTAGGACTAAATCTACTGGGGGAAACACAAATAATACATTTATCTTCTTCCCATCATGTATGCAAAGAACTTAAATCAGTAACCTGGGGACATGTCCCTTTTTCTCTAGAGTTGCTTGAGGGATTGTACCCTTAAGTGCCTACCCTAATCCTGAAGAAATGTCAGGGATTCCTTAATAAATATTTACATTCCATTAAAATACATTTAATAATGACTCAAATTTGTATAGTGAGTTACAGTCTGAAAAAACTTTCATCTACATTGTATTAATATCTTGCAATCACTGACTACAAGCTAAGGTCCTATAACCTCAGACCCCAGGCATGTCCAGGAAGATAAGGAATGGCCTAAAAGGTGGTGTCAAGGATGATGGACTAGTCTGATAACCTAAAGTCCTCATTGCTCAGCCTCGTATATGTTGTGTCTAAAACTTTAAGCAGCTTGCAATACAGGCTGACTTGAAAACAAATGGCAAAGCTGATGAAAACACTCTGGGCTTTTGTTTTGATTTTAGTACCAATCTGTGAGAGGAAAGAGTAATGAATAGACTGCTGAAATTGGAGTAAGGAAGATCTGGGTTCAAATGCCATTTGAATCCGTAAGACATTTGCTAGTTACGTGATCCTGGGCAAGTCACTTAATCTCTGTGTACCTTGGGTACACAGAGTACATATTATTGGGTACATTGTGGATATATTATGTACTCATAAACTAAGTTATAGACGTTGATTTGCATTGCTGGAGGAACTTTCCAAACCTAGAGTGCCCCAGGCTGATAAAAATCTCAAACGTTCATTAATCTGCAAGAGCTATTTAATAATCTGCAAAACATAAGAGGCAGACTAAATGACCTCTAGGGTTCCTTCCAACTCTACGATTAGAGTTAATAGACTGGATTAGAAGGTAGGTACTGCAAATATTCTACCCATTTTACAGATGAAGAAACAAGCCAGGGAGGTTGATTTGCTTCTGGTCCTGGAGCTAGCAAGGGGCAGAGCTAGGTGGTGAACCCAAGTCTACAGGCTCCAAGTCCAAGGCTCTTTCCTCTACCTCTCAGGCTGACAGGTCTGAAATGTGCTTTGAATGAAGCCAAAATGAACGTGACATTGGCTGTTAAGCCAAAGGATTCAATTTCCTTAGAACTGGCACGCCTTTTATAATCCACCGCACCCTGAATCTAATAGTCTCTGATTTCCAGGAAGGATTAGTAAACCTTCATCTGAAGGCAATTTGTTGTATTGATTCTGCCTCTCTCTTTTGTTCTTTCAGAAATATACAACTCCTCATCTGTTCCTTCTCCTGTGTTAGACTTGGCATTCATACCACAGTGCTCTGGTAAGCTTTCTACAACTGCTGGAACTCCATGGGCTGGTGTTTAAACCTCTCCATTGTTTAAGTCTCTTTATTGGTTGAGATGATTAATAGGTGTCCCCACTCCTACATGAGGACAATTTAGCATCTTGTGGCCCTTGTGCATGAATCTAGTTTCTCCCTATTCTCCAAAAAAAGTCAACAGATTGCTGAGTCTTTCTTCTAATCTATATGCAGGGTTGTTGGATATAAAATTCCATGGAGAACCTAATAATCCAGTCACCTGATGTAACTTGGGACAAAATAGAGGGGTGATTAAAATACACATTAGGGAGGATCTCAGAATGATAGAATCTCAGGGTTCAAAGGCACTTAGTCCAATCTACCCAATGCAAGAGCTTCATTTGTAATATTTTTGACATGGTCACTGAGCGTCTATTTAAAGAATTTCAGTGGAAGGGAATTTACTATTTCACGAGGCTGCCAGGAACCTATAGCATTATAGAATTAGAAGGGATCTTAGATGTCATCTAAAGTCATTTTACAGATACGGAAAATGAGGCAAAGCACGGTTAAATAGCTTGCCTAAGGTCATTAAAGTCATGAGTGACAGAGCCAGGATTTGAACCCAGATTCTTTCCAACTCTATTATTCTTTCTAGTATAGCATGCTGTATTCCTTAGACTTCTGTATTCCTTAGACTTCCATCCATTGGATGCCAAAATATTGCTACCCTAGACACTCACATAGGTGACTGTGTATCTGGAAAGTAAGTTTTCTCATAAACATTGCTTGTAATTTGCTGGAATCTAGAGGTTTTTTAATTTTTTTTTTAATTTAGTATTTTATTTTCACTCAGTTACATGTAAAACATCTTTTAACATTCACTTTTAAAATTTTGAGCTCCAAATTCTTTCCCTTCTTTCATCCCCCCTCCACCCCCTGTAATTGAGAAGGCAAGTAATTTGATATAGGTTATATATGTGTAGTCGTGCAAAACATTTCCATAATAGTCATGTTGTAAAAGAAAACATTGACCAAAAAAAAAAGCCTCAAGAAAAAATAAAGAAAGCAAAAAAGTGCTTCAATCTGTATTCAGATACCATCAGTTCTTTCTCTGGGGATGGATAGCATTTTTCACTGTAAGTCCTTCAGAATTATCTTGGATCATTGTGTTGCTGAGAATAGCTAAGTCATTCACAGCTGATCATCTTATAATATTGCTGTTACTTTGTACATCATAATACATTTCACTTTGCATCAGTCCATGAAAGTCTTTCCAGGTTTTTCTGAGAGCATCCTGCTCATCATTTCTCATAGCACAATAGCATTCCATCATAATCACATATCATAATTTGTTCAGCCATTCCCCAATTGATGGGCATCCCCTCAATTTCCTTCTTTGCCCCCAGAAGAGAGCTGCTATAAATATTTTTGTACATATAGGTCCTTTTTGTTTTTTATCTCTTTCGAGATACAGACCTAGTAGTGGTATTGCTAGGTCAAAGGGTATATATGGTTTTATAGCTCTTTGGGCATAGTTCCAAATATTTTTTACAGAATAGTTGAATCTGGAATCTAGAGGCTTTTACTGAATACGTAATATCATACCTGTCATGGCATTGGTTGGAGTGGGGTGGAGGTGAGGGGACAATGTGGAGCTGGACATAGTAAATATTGAATACTAGAAAGAACCATGGAGTTGGAATAAGAGGACCTGCTTTGAATTCTAGCTCTATAATTTAAAATTTATGTAACATTGGGCAAGTCACTTAACTTCTTTGAAACCCGGTTTCCTCATCTATATGACAAGGGGAATTGGACATCTAAGATGCCCTCTAGCTCTATCTCCATGCTCCTATAATTAAAACATTAGAACGTTATCAGTAGTTGATTATAAAGTAGTAGATTTATGCCTGTTCTGACAATTATCTCTTCAACATTTTTAAACTTATTTTGTTATCTTTTTTTTAGGAGATAATCTCACCCTAAAATGAAATTTTAAAGCCTAATTAGCCTTGGGAACAAGGGAAACAAACATACTTTATTATTTACAGATACTTAAAAACAAACATGAACATCTCCCAAGGAACCCAGAAACTACTATATAATGAAATTACTAGATGGAAAATGGAAATGTGAATTTATACACCTTCTACTGTGCGGCTAATTGATGGTTCTTACATTAGTGGTGAAGTTGAATGAGAGTTATTATTGTGGGCTCAAACAGCAATTTTTTGCCTGTTTACGAATAGGTGGAAGATGAGAGAAGAGAGTACTACAATTTTCAACAGTTCAACTATAATCTGGTCTTTGGGTTCAGATTAGATACACATGGACATGTTGTTTTCTATGATACACAGCAAAATAAAGCTCTTGCTCTAGGGCAGGCCTTACAAATAAGAGTTAGAAATCTCTTTTGGGTTTCACTGACTGTGGTCAGTTAGCTCTACCAGTCACTACACAAGATTAATGAGGCCAAGATTTTAGGGGCTTGATTTTCTTATAGATTCCTTAGTTTGCTCTTGTTCCACATGACTATAGCTCGGACACTGGCAAGCTCTCTCACAAATATGGCTCATTTATGGGGTAGGGGAAAGGGAGGACTGGGAAAATTTACAGGTAAATTAGACAAATTCACCCCCACTCTTAGGATAACAACTCATAGTCCGCATTCTTCTACTCCCTGTTCAGTAATATCACTTTGGTTCATAGAGAGAAACTCTCCATCTCCCATGGATAGTGACCATTGAAATTAAATGATATTTAAGTGGGGAGGAGGAAAAGGAAGAAGGATAGTGAAATGCATCTCTTTTTCCTCTTCCATAGATGTAGATTTCTGCTCTAAGGCTGCCCAGTGCTGTAAACATGGAATGGATGAAGATGGTTGGATTGCAGCAGCAATTGGTTGGAGTCTCTGGTTTCTCACACTCATTTTGCTCTGTGTGGGTAAACTCAGAAAAATAACACCTGATGAATCCAAGTACACACAAGCATGAAATTTGGGACTCCATAGACAAGACTATCAAACTCCACCAGTTTCCTAAATGAAGAGAATAGTCTTGAAATAAGATTCAACTTGCTTTTTAAAGGGGAGCAGAAGATGGAAATGTCCAATTTCAGCAAGGAGATAGTACTTTCACATCTAGTTTCAAAGGGTTACTATTTGACCCTGATAGTTTTCCTTTCTCTATAGTTTAATATCAGAATTATTTCCATAAACATTTGTTGAATTGAATTGACAGGAAGAATTTATGAAATATCAGTTGTGTTTCCAGTACCATCTTGATATTCAAGGATACAAAAAAGGAATAACCAAGAGCCATTCCTCAATAGATAAGTTGTCAAAAGATATGAACAGTTTTTGAAAGACCTGCATATTATAAATTAAATTAATTGCCATTTGGAAACTTTCTCCAAACCAATAATAATAAGAGAAATGCAAATTAAAACAACTCTCACCCTGAAAATTGACTGAGAAAACAAAAATGAGGATTTGTGGGAAGAATGGAATACTCACACACTGTTGGTAGAGCTATGAATTGATCCATCCATTTTGGCTATCCATTTGGAATTATGCAAAAATGTGACATCACTGTTCATACCTTTTGACCCAATAAATCCTTCTACTAGACATATACTCCAAAAAGTTCAAAGATGAAAACAAGAGTCTCAGCAGGACTCTTTGTGGTAACAACAACAACAACAAAAAAAAAATGAAACAAAGTGGAGCAAAAGTAAACTGGTGTATAAATGTAATAATTTCTGCTACAATAGAAAGGAGAAAAGTCACAAGAAGGAACATGAGCTCTGAGTGACTGAGAAAGCAAAAAAGAAATGCTACCAGAGAACAGATCTGGGAGTATACTTGTCTCCCTTTGACCAAAGTGAGGGGGAGAATGTCAGATAGAGTGACTATCAGGTAGTTTCGTTTAGTTGTTTTTCTTTGTTACAAAGAAGGGTTTGATAGGGGAGAGGGAGGAACAGTGGTATAGACCTAGAAATAACTGTGATGTAAAAATAAAAATTATCAATAAAACACTTTTTTAAAAAAAAGTACAAGACAATTGGGTGCACTACAAGATCCAAAGTTATTATTTTCCCTCCCAATTCAGCTCTTCCTTCTGGAATAATACTTTCTGTTAACCGTATTATTCTTCTAGTCATTCAAGCTTGAAATTTAAGAGGCACTTTTGACCCTCCCTCCCCCACAATTTCTAAGTCCAATTGTCAAATCCTGTCCATATCTTCCTGCAAAATTGACTCTCCTAGCACTACATTCTATTCTCATTATCACTCCCTCTAGGTCAATCCCTTGTTATCAACTGATTGAATTCAGTAGCCTCTCCTGGATCCCTGCCTGCCATTTGCCCTATCCCATACTTATTGTACTCACTACCACAAAGTTAATGTCAATCAAAAGGACACTGTCTCCCAGGAAGGAGCATGTGGTATAGTCCCACAAGGCAGGGGGTCTAGCTGAGAAGCTCACCTGTGGCATTTGATAGCTGGGTGACTTTGAGCAAGTCACACAAACCTCTATGAACCTCAGTTTCCTCATCTGTGAAAAGAGGGGGTGGTACTGAAAAGCCCTCCTAGTAAGTCTATGATCCTGTGGTCCTTGTTGCCTATTGAAAGAAATGTTTAGTCATTTTCAGTTATGTCTAACTTTTTGTGACCCCATTTGGGATCTTCTTGTCCAAGATACAAGAATGGCTTGCCATTTCCTTCTCCAGCTCATTTTACAGATGAGGAAGCTGAGGCAAACAGGGTTAAGTGACTTGCCCAAGGTCACACAGCTAGGAAGTGTCTGAGGATAGATTTGAACTCAGGAAGATTAAGTTTTCCTGACTTCAAGCCTGGCACTCTTATCCACTGTGCCACCTAGCTGCCCTACTGAAAGAATTAACATTCCTCATTCAAGACATTTCCTAATCTGGCTCCAAACTCATTTCTGGTCTTATCTTCTACTCCTCTACAGGTAGTTGGACTATGCTATAGTCTCATTCCCTAAACATATTTTGAGTTTTCAAATTTCTATGCCTTTTTTCATGCTGTTCTCTCCGCTTACGGTATCCTCTCCCATCTATCTGTCTGTCTCAATATACTGCTAAAACTCAGCTCAAATATCACCCCCAGGAAGTTTTTCCTGATTCTCCCATCTTCAGCAATCTACCTCTGAAATCTAATGTCTCTTAACAGTTTGAATTGAACATGCCATAGGCATCTTAAACCAAACATATCTAAAACAACTGATTATTTTTTCTACCAAACTCACTCTTCCTCCAAACTCTCTATTACTTAGTTGAAGGCTCCATCATTCTTCCAATCACCTAGGTTTACAACCTGTGTGTCATCGTCCATTCCTCCCTCTGACCCCACAGATCTAACCAATGGTCAACACTTGTCATATCTGTATCACCACGACATCTCTCCCATCTGTCACCACTTCACTTACACAGCTACCACCTTGGTTTAAGCCCTCATCACCTCTCACCTGGCCTATTATTTGTTGTTCAGTCGTTTTCAGTCATGTCTGACTCTCCGTGATCCCATTTGGAGTTTTCTTGGCAAAGATACTGGAGTGATTTGCCATTTTCTTCTCCAGCAGGGACTGTTATAATAGCCTTCTAATAATTGATCTCCCTGCCTCAAATCTCTCGCCACTCCATCCATCCCAAAAGCATCAAAGCAATTTTCCTAAAGTATACATCTGACAATGTTCCCAGTCACCAAATCCCTCTGTACCTCAGTTTGGCCACGTATAAAATGCAAAAGTTGAATCGGTCCCTTCCAGCTCTAAATCTATGACTCTCTGAACTCCAGTAACCCCTCTAGAATCAAATATAAACTGTTTTGCCTTTAAAGCTCTTCACAAGGTGGCCCTTACCTAGACCTTCCCATTGCTTTCTTCTACTCACACTGTGATGCAGACACACTGGTTGTTCCTTGCACAGGGTACTACAGCCTTCTTCTTGATTCCTTCACATTGGCTTTCTTTCATGCCTGCAATGCCCGGCCTCCTCTTAGGAGCCTTGGTTTCCTTCATCACTCAACTCCAGCATCACCTTCCACAAGAGGCCTTTCTTAGCTACTGGTACGTTCCCTCTGAGCTGACTTGCATCTACTTTGCATGGATTTTGGATATACCAAAAGCATTTATCAAGCACTCACCATGAGCTAAACACTGGAGATACAAAGACAAAATCCCTCCTCTTCGTTCATTGGCAGATTAATTTTTTCAGAAAACATACTTGCTAAGGATTTGTGGGGGAGGGATTGCTTGTTGGGAAGTGAAAGGAAGAGTTTTTACCTTATCCTGAACCAGGTCACCATGCCACTTCTTGTTCACCTCTAAACCATGCTTTGACCACAACTCCATCCTGTTCCTTCTGGCTTCTACTTTTGTATTCTCCCATTATAATGTAAGTTCCATGAGGGCAGGGGCTGTCTTGCTTATTTGTATTTCTATCCCCAGCACTTAGTAAAGTTCCAGGTACATAGTAAGCACTTTATAAATGCTCTTTTATTTATTCATCCAGGTTTTCTTCCAAAATAAAATGTATCAATTATTTTTAACAATGAAGAAACATTAGGTTAAATGATTTTTTTTTTACGTTCCACAGTTAAAACTCAAGTTTGTGTGGGTGCACAGAGCAGGGATAGAATCCTGAGCTACATGAATTTTGGCCTAGATTCATTTAGTGAGTGAGAAAGGAGTTCCAATAAACAACCACTGATTTTTTTTTTTAACTTCCTATTGGAAAAGACAGTAACTGCCAAAAGGCAGAACACAGAAATTATACTTTGGATATGCTGAAACCAAATGTCCCTTTGAAAACTGATATCCAAACAGGTAGGAGAGTCTTAATAATCCTAAGAAGGCTGGCATTTTAAGTCCCAAATGAAATCCTTCATGGTTTTCAAACTTCAACAATGGGACTATTTAGAAAGACAGAAAGGGAGTTCATGTCTCTACATCTGTGGCAAATAATAATAATAATAATAATGATGCCTCTCCCCAACTAAAATACTAGATTCTTTCATCCTGCCCACAATTAGAGTCATTGAATACCTCCTTATTGCTAGTGGGCAAAGTTTACTCTGAAGATTATTACTTTACCCTGAAAAAGGATGATATATCCACTCAAATCCTTCACTGATGCCTTAATGTGGCACAGAGGTGACCCTGGACTCTGGAAGGTAATAGCAGTAGTATGCATGCTCTGACAAGTGCTACCAAGCTGGAAAGGCTTTGAGGAGAGACTTGGAGACAGACAGTGCATCTGTCATCTGAGGACCAGCTGAGGTAACATGTGGAAGGGTCATCACCAGAAAGCTAGCTGGCCTCCAGGGAATGGATATCTTTGGTGATAGCAACACATAAAGACTAGTTAAAGGGGTAGTTTGAGTAAAAAGTAGATCAAAAGAGAAAATAACATCATTAAAATTAGGGATCTTTGAAAATATTGAATAATGATATAATATTAGATAATAATCAACCTTAACAATAACAATGGTCATCAAAAGCTTGAAATGCCAAACAGAGGAGTTTGTATTTTACTTTAGAGACAAGAGGAAGTCACTGGAGTTTCTTGAGGAGAGCAGCAGCATGGTCTTACCTGCACTTTAGGAAGATCACTTTGGTAGCTTCCTGGAGGATGAATTGGGAAGGGGAGAGACTTGAAGTAGGTAGACCAGTTAGTTATTGTCAAGGTCCAGAGGAGAGAAGATGAGGACTCAGATTAGAGTAGGGAACATGGCAATGATTCAAGAAGGGTTGTAGAAGGTGTTGACAAGTCTTGGTAACTAACAGCGTATGTGGAGTCAAAGAGAGTGAAGAAACAAAGATGACAACAAGTTGTGAACCTGGGCAACTGGAAAGTTGGTGGGTTGCCCTAGACAGAAATAGGGAAGTTAGGAAGAGAAGAGGGTTGGGGTGCGGCAGAGAGATGTGTTCTGTTTTGTACGTGTTGAGTTTGAGGTGCCTCTGGGACATCTGGTTAGAAAAGTCTGGTAGGCAATTTGTGATGTTGAGACTGGAACTTGGAAGAGAGACCGCCTGGGGCTGGAATAAAATAAACTTTCTGAAGTAATCTGGTCCAATTGTCTTATGTTATAAATGAGAAACATGACATTCAAAGGAGTCAGGTGACTGGCTTAATGTCATAAAACTACCAAGTGCCAGGACTGGAACCCAAGTTTCCTACTCCCTCCCCAACCCCCACCTATGCTCTTTCCTGAACACTACACTGTGGTCATAATGTCATATGATTTGCTCAGAATCCTAACCTGAGCAGTTCAAACAGGATGAAGAATCCAGTGCTCTCTTGACTAGACCATCTCTGCTCTAAATCTTCATCAGCACACTCTGTTCGAGCTCAGGGAAAATGAGGCACAAGTTTGTCTGGGGGTAAGAGAGAGTAGGAACATCATAGACAAATGAATCTGCAGATACACAATACACGTCTCCCTTTAAAAAATGCAAAAGCTATCATTAAAGCCCAAATGTTCAGTTGCTTCTCCCAAACTTTTGCTTAGCATAATTTTAATATTTAAAACTTAATAAAATAAATATAAACTTTATCATAAACATAGTAAACTTTGATTTTGAATTTTAAGTGTGAAATTACTTTGATTATAAAAATCAAGTAATCAGGCAAAATAAGGAACAAATTTATATTTAAAACCTCCAACATAATCTATAGCTTGACAAAGAAGAACCAGAAGAATCAATAGATGAAAAACAAAATATATTTGCTCCATGCCCTGCATCTGAATCACTCTGTAGGTCTATCACAGGTGGTTTTGTCAAGCATTTTTTAAACTACCAGCATAACAGATTTTTGTTTTATTTTCTCTGCCAGGGAGAATAAGCTTTTTGTGAGAAAGGATGGACCAAAAATCACTCACAGGGAGTTGACAAAGACCAAAGACAAAATAGCAAGATAGAAAGGGAACAAGGCAGCTAGGTGGCTCAGTGGATAGAGCACTGAGCCTGGAGTCAGAAAGACCTAAATTCAAATTCAGCCTC